TTAGTTTAGTCTTATCTATTCTGGGGTGTATGATTAAAAAATGTAACTATCAAATTTATATGAAACTTATGAAAATAAGCAATTTACAATTAAATATTTATCCAATTGTGGTAAAGTGCTGATTGTTTTCAAAATACGACCTAGACAAATGAATTGTGTGATGTACCTTAGTTGTACTATCGAGGTAATCCGCACAAGATGTACATATGGCTGAAGATCAATTATAGTCCTAAACATCAATCGGAAGATTCAAACAACTAATACAAATGAATTAAACTTCCGCCTAATGTAGAAGGTAATGGTTATTCGAACTCATTAGCTAAGTGAATAAGGCGATAGTGTTTTTGAACGAACTGTTCTAGGTTCGAATCCCGGGGTGAACATCGACTCGGGAATGCAGACACATGGAATAGATTTAACGCACTTCCTGGGTTCGAATGGTAACGACCACCCATCTCTCCTTAAATTTCTTTAATTGATAATGACCTTTTCCTCTTTCAGCTGAGTTGTTAAAAAAATGACAGCTCAGCTCAGATATTCTAATTATATATGAAATAATCCAATCACGTTATTTTTTAGCTTTAATGTTTATATGAAATATCAGTGAATATAGTTAATCACCTAGATGTAGTCTCAACAACAATACCATGTTTACAGGCCCTTTTTTACCCTATGACAGAAATTTCTAGATTTATTTCATTTAATCGAAGTAGTTTCTAATGAAATATTAAACCGTTTGAAGCATTAGCATATTCAAACTAGAATTTACATCAGAAGACGAGACGAAATTTTAATTTAATAAAAATTCATTGTATGTCGTAAAAACATAGATCGATGTTCGATGTGACGAGTGAAATAATGCCGTATTTAGTTTAGTAGAGGTATGGAATTTGGAGTAATCGCCTATTATCAGAAATGGTCATAGACATACATGGGTCATAGTTGCGTTTATGGATCAGCATTCTAGTGAATGAGCTGCATTCTAAAAGTTCACAGAATTATATTATGATCAAAGGGTTTGACTGATAAATTTGAACTTTCTGCAACTGAGTGAGTGTTACCAACTTGATTGTAGTCATTGTCACAAACTACTAATAAATACATCAGCATAAATGTAGTCTAATTCTTAAGCCTACTGATTAAAATCTAATAGACATAATTTTCCAACATTCTGACATCCTACCTCTACCAGTACAATAAAATCTAATTTTTAAAAATCTATTTTACTCAAGTTTCAGTCCATACATTTTACATAAAACTGAAATTCCAGTTTGGTAAGAAATCGTCCATTGAAATTATAAGTTGACAATCCTTCAGTATTTAGTCGAAACATGTATTACGTATGACCAACAAATACTTACTTTTAAGGGCAAAGTTAGCTAGTTTAGGAGTAACTTGAACCAAAAGGTAGAGACTGTCAAAACCAAAACGTGATATCAGTCCATTACAGACTGTTGATCTGAGTCACCTAGCTCGGGACCAAGAGATCGGTCGTTCGAGACGTTAGATGATATGACTCAGGATCGGTCACAATGGAATAGATCCATTCATTAGTTATATTCCAATAAACTTTAATGTACAGTATTTCCTCATGTATATTTTTTCTACTCCTTTCTAAAACTACATGGTTTATTAGAATTGATATTATACTCATTTAAATCATTTGCAATTCATCGTGTTAATTTCATCTGATAGTACTAATGTGGTATAGTTTCATTAAAGCACATTTTTTGTCAAACTATACATTAATTATAACTAGCTGACTGTATATTCATTTAATGTGCCTTTATTTTATCCACCTTTATAGATCTATATTTTAAAAGTTGAAATCAATTCTCTGTACGCTAACGTATGAACTCAATAAACATCTCATAACAGAGATGTGAATGAAAAGCAAAATTGTACGCATGAGTTATGATGTTATTTTTCTAATTTGCCTTGTTAAACTAAATAAAAATTAATGTGTTACACCCATATATTGTTCATAGGATACTCAAATGATATATATATATATAAATAAAGCCTTTCTTTCCAGGAAAACAAAATTGATAAACAAATCGATAATATTTGTCGATAATCATTATACTGAAAAAATACATACATAGAATTTCCTATGATTACTATCTCATAATTGGAGCATGTATCCTAGAGAGTTTGTTATGATAAATAGCACTAATTATTGTTCTTCAACAAGAAGTACCTTTGTTCTTGATAAGAACAGTTCTCCTAAAGCGATTCGGACTTGCATCATAGTATGAGATATTAACATTGATTATTTGGGGTCAAGATTGACCTTGTGGTAAAAAATTCATCATGTCATTTTATAGCCCAAAAGCTTATTCAGAATCTTTTAAATGTAAATATTATTAGCAGTATCCAGTTTTTCCCATTGATAACTTTGAATAAAGTAAGAATAATGAGTATAGTAGAATAAGTTGAATTCGTCTACTTCATAGACTCTTGCCAGTTGCTTACAACCTAGATATAATAGTAATAACTACCAATGTATATACTTTATGTTATATTGGTGAAAATCAGTAGAATAATGCAATCATGAAAGTATCATAAAGTGGACGTCGTGTTGATATTTAAAAATCGTTCAAATAATCAAAACCTAAACAACTTTGAATCTACTATGTTATATCGAAGTCATAATAGTCAAAAAGCTTAAACTAAACTTATGTATTTAAAAGGATAGAGTTGTAAATCCTTCACTATTGTGATTCCTTTTATTTTCATTATCTGACCACGTAATTTCCTATTTTATACCACAGTATCAAATTCCTTTTTTCTTTTGTTTGAGCTTCACTCATTTTACTCTCTTATTCTAACAAATTTCATGTTTATTATTACGTAACTTCAATATTCATCCTCTAGAAACGCGTCTCCATATGCTTTAAACATTTTTCGTCCATAATTTCCACATTTGGTAACATAAATATTCATTTTTTTACCACTTTATAATGCTCCCATACTTGTCATCGGGTTTCTGATAATCTTCACTAATATAATATAAAGTATGTACATTTATTATAGATAATGATAATTATTATTTCTAGGTTGTTCCTGATTTATTCAAAGTATGATATCTAATTTAAATTATTAAAAGTATAGTGGTCGTGGAGATTGCTAAGTTTTGATTGAGATCATGAACCGATTGATGTTAGACCACCATTGAGAACCTGGAAGCACTGGACGGCCGTTTCGTCCTATTGTGGGACCAGTGGAGCTAATCCGTGCCGAGTAGAAACAGATGTCTACCTCAGTACAATGGAAGATGGTCGCGCAATTTCGTGGATTGGTTGGGGTTAGACATTAACATCATTGGATGCCGGCTCAGTGGTCCAGCAGGTTAAGCGGGCGGGATCGTGGGCGCGCACTGCTGAGGAGTCCCACAATAGGACGAAACGGCCGTCCAGTGCTTCCAGGTTTTCAATGGTGGTCTAACACCAATCGGTTCATGATCTCAATCAAAACTTAAATTATTAAATAGGATGATTATGTATGAAACATCGAACACTTAAAAAATAACGATAACATCAATCTAATTACAAATTGTTTTAAAACAAATTGCTTATGCATCACATATTACAATCGGTCCATGAAATGAAAACAAACGAAGCCAAATACTTACTCATAAAGCTTTAGAGGTATAAAAAACACACCCAACTGAGTTTATTTCTTTTTTCTCTCAATAATACAAATCAACCTTTTGTTAAATATTTAAGGATATTGTGTGAATTATGTGAAGAAGTGATGGAACAAAGGATATGAATTAATTTTAGTGATATGCAGAGATTTAATCAGTAAAAAGACAAGCTTTATCAGCTAATAAAATTATAACTAAACAATACTGAAACTTATGAATTCTTTGAAAATGCTGACCATCAGATTCGATAAATTACCATGTGGTAACGTATTTAAAATTGGAAATGGAAGACTCAGTATGAACCTATACCTAGTCAGTGATAAATACCTGGTCATTATTTGTATTGTGGAATTAAACTGATGTTTATTTGATAGCATTTAGTGATGGAAATTGTCTTTAAAATTTAGTTATCGAATATTTGCAACATAAGTCACGAATAGACACTAAACGTTTCAAAAATAAAATCTCTGAGGGTTAACAAAACTACATATTTACCAGAATTGTAGTTGATGCAGAATGGTTTGAATCTCAGATCTTATTCTATGATCATGCAGTGACTTAGCTGTTTTATTCTCAACACCCAATTAGAATTTTTTAAAAAAACTTATTTCATGTGAAATTCAAAAATCAACAAATAAATCTTACATGCAATACACAATAGAAATATTTCAATTTACTTTGCCGATAATAAACTTTATATAAACTCTATGTTTCTACGGTGTTAAAAGCAAAATATAGATAATAAGCCCTGAAAATCTAATGAGCTTCCTAAAATCAATAAACTGTAATCGGCTTCATTGTTTCTGTTGAGAAATACTTTTGATTTATATAAGTTCTGTTCATTAAGTAAAAAAGTGACTTTGAAAGCACAAAGTCACTTCAATACCACTGCTGATTCGTTTCTGTGTTACTGTTACATAGATTTTAACCAATGAATCTCACGTTTGAAATAAGACTCTCCTCCCACTCCTATCAAGGCAACTAAGTATGATTATATTAACCCTAATATAATAGTTTATTTACTTAAAATAATTGAATATACTGCTAAAAATATAGATAGCAACTATTGTATGATTTTGTAATGGTTTGAAAACTACTCATCATTCACTAACATTACTTTCATATATTTGTGCATTTTGAGAATGAATCAAAATTAGCACAATAATCAGCTTTCCGAATGTGTCGCTTTTTCTTCGTTATTTTTTTCTTTAGTTTATGTCTATCATTAACCTCAAAATGTATAGATCAGTGTATCCAAGATAAATTATTTCTTTAAAATAACGTTAAAATTGTTTATGATAAAAATGAATGAAATTTGTATTCTCATCTTAAGAAATATTTGTTCTTTTACCTGTAAACATGTTCTTGGTAATGATGGTAGCTCAACTGGAAGAAGTGTAGTAGCACCATATATAATCATTCCCCAGATAAAATTAATAGCGATTAATAAAGGAGTTGGAATCGCATAATTATTGTAAATAAATTTCATAATATTTTTAAATGTAGGAGTTGTATGTGCATGATCCTGTTTTTCGTCAATAATTGATAGATAATTGGAGAAACTATAAGGTTTTGATGAATATGTATTTTCCTTATCTATAATATTAGGAATACGGTCATTACATTTTGCTATTTTGTCTAAGACTTTAGCTGATTCTTCATAATTTCCCCATTGAGCTAAAATGATAGGTGACTCTTGAATACAGTAGGTCAGACCAAGTGCACAAAATATAAGAGGTGCTGTTGTGAAAAGTACAAAAAACCTCCAACTAAGTTTTGATGTCGAACAACCAAGGCCAACACCAGTTACATATAGAGCAATGAATGAATCAAAAAAGCAAACAAGCAGTTGACCAGTAGGTTGGTAGCTTTCTGGTAGTACTTCTGATATCATCGAGCAACCAGCAGTCAGTAGACCACCAATGTACAAGCCTGAGATGAAACGTAAAACTGCAAGCCATATGTAAGTAGGCGAAATAGCACACAACCACGTCATGTAGATTAGAGCAAGACAACATAGAATATTAAGATCTTTCCGTCCAAGCCTATCTGAGAGATACCCAATAGGTGGGGAACCAATACATATACCCAAAAACACAAGGGTAGTAAGAAGTGCAACATAATCAGAACTCATATTCCATTCACAGCGTAATGTTGGTCCGAGAATTGCTTGAATTAACGTTTCCATAGTGTCAGTAGCTTGAGCCATACCAATAATTATGATGACACGAACCTGATACCAGCCAAACCCTAGTTGGTCCAGAACAGTCTGAACTCCAGAACGTTTGGTAGCGTTCTCCGACTCCATCTATTGTACGAAAATGAAGTTCACAGACAACTACATATTACCATGATCACAAACGATATATTCCGATTAGCCAATCAGCTAGTTACAAACTCAAGGACAGATAAATATTAATAATATGCTATGGTTGGCTCGTACTTTGAAGTCCATTAATGTTTATTATTTTAAAATGAGACACTTTTGATGGGTGTTATGAAATAAATCAGTACGAGAATATTCAGAAAAAACTAAAGAAGTATTGGACATTGAATTTGGTCGCCTTTGTACTTTTGTTAATACGCATCTAACGTGTCATTTCGGTCAGACGTAGATGGCGGTGAAATGGTAAATGTGTCTAGACTAGCCCTTGTATTTGGGCTTTGTGGACTTGTACACGCTGCTTTCTCAGCTGCACAGCGTAAACTCTTAATAATTTAAACTACTATACCTTATTTAACTTATATAGATCGTTCATATATTCGTCTAACTGATCAGGAGTATATCTCGTTACCGACAGACGTAATTTTATCAGTTTATTGTCATTAATTATAACCTATGTAGATTGTTGTTCAGATATTTCTCTCATTTATTGCTGTGTGCGTAGGAGTTGTTGGTCTTTCTGGAACTTTAAAGGAAATAGAAGCCGCCTCAGAATTTAGAGAGAAGTATGTCAGAATATATATCTAAAGTGTCCTTAAGAACTTGGGATTCACTTGGAAATCATCCATCATTCTATATCTTCCATCACCGCAGACTCCCTTGTTTGTCACAAACTACTCATTAGTGTTTTGTGTTCTCACTGCAGTCCGATGACCCCTAACCCTCTTGCTTCTGCCCTAGGACACACAGATTCAGTGACAGCGTTGTCACTCTCTGATAATCTCTTAGCTTCTGGGGGGGAGGATGGAAATACATATCTCTGGTCTTTGGATCAAAGTCAATTTCCCGTTCTCTGTGCCCCAAGACTAAATCATTGTTCTAGTCTCAAATTTAGTGCAGCAAGATCACATATTCTGTACAGCGCATATGGTCAGCAAATCGTCTCATGGGATATTCGTCGTATGACTGAGCCAGTTGTTACTTGGGAGGTAAATTAAATTTTGTAACTGTACCTAACTTTTTCACTCTAGGTTAATGATGATGAAATCAACTCAATTGATTTTTCTGGAGATGAGCATCGTCTTTCGTCTGCAGATGATTCTGGAGCTGTTCAGATTATTGACGTGAATAATGGCCAGGTTACACGTACCCTTAAGAAACATGATAACATATGTTCTTCAGCCAAATTTCGTCCTGGTCGAACCTGGCAATTAGTTAGTGGTGGTCTTGATTGCAGAGTTATTGTCTCTGACTGGAAGGGCTCTGGTCTCGGTGTGATCATTTTTGAAATGGATGAAATCGTTGAAAGTCCTGATGAGTTTTTACAGTCCTTACCAACTGATTCAGACTGGCGCCATGGATCAAGCACAAGTAGTAATGATAATGTGGAAATCGACTACGACAATTCAAATGATACAGATTTTGAAGCTACTTACGCAACCGGACATTCTCAAATTATCGCTGACAGTAGTTCCCTAAGTCCATCCTCTGGGATTGGTTCTGAGTCCAGAAGCGAACACTCTGTTTTGAGTGATGATGAGCATCTCAGGATTACTAGCGATCATTCGTACTCACGAACCCGTCACACAGAACGACGTGTAAGTTATACACTTTAAACGAGTTAATATCGTAACAACCACTGGTCAACGGCCGGTAAATTCTTCTGTGATGACATTTTGGTACTCCCATGTATATTGATATGTTGAGACTTGTGTTGTTATTCTCTTATTCTATATACTTGTCCTAACGACTGAATGACAGTTAACTTAGTACAAATAGTATGAGTATATTTTGGGTAGTTTCAGAATAAAACGGTTGCACTGTGGTTAAAGATTTAAAATCACCCTTGTCATCAGTCCCACTATTTAGAGCTGGCAAATTTGCTGAACCAATGAGCTACATCTGGTGTCACTGATTAGTATTATCATCATTCCTCTCTCGCTCTTTCAGAAGATACATGATGCGATGACTAGTAAGTTTCGTGATCAACTGATTAATGTTAGTCTGGTATTCTGTAATTGCTTCTTTGTGCGATGTTACGATTAACTATAATACAATCAACCACTTTGACGTATAAATGTATTGGTTTGCCACTACTTCAGCATGACCTATTCAGGTTGCTACGCTTCAGACTAAAAATAATTCATTACAAAACCAATCAGGTTTCAACATGTTTTACCCACTTTTAAAGAGCATAGTAACCAACAGTTGTACCTTCCAACATCAGCGTTACTTCGGATTCCTTGAAACCGTCTACCTAGAAGAAGTGTTTCTTACTTATAAATGGTGATGCTGGCTATTCAAATATCAATGAAACCAACATCCTTAAGTAAAGGATAGACCTTCAGTCGATCATAGCGTAGAACCTGACAAAAATAGGCGTTAACTGAGATACAATACCTACTTTCGTATAAACCAAAGTCAGTAACAACGTAGAACTTCGTATTATTATTATTTTAGCAAATAGATATTGGTACAAGGAGGCACCAAATACATATGCGCCACACAAATCTCATTTGATATGTGTGAGGGCTGTGATACTGTCTGGGTGCCCAGACCGAAGCAGGTGGTTTTCTTAGGGAGCCACTCCCGAGCCTTCGACCTGAACGTCTGATCCACAAGGCAGTGGAGCATCGTAAGGAGATGCAGTCCCATGGAAGCCGGTGACCAACAATTGGTCCATACGCCATTTGTTCCCGCAGGATACTGGAGCCCACGTGCACCACTGGTTTGGCATCCGGTTAAAGCGCCCGACATTCGCTTTTCGTCCTCTCATTTTCGTAAACAACACCCCCGCCACGAGAAGGCAGTGAGTAGGACTTCCCTGGCAGAGGCTATATACGCGTGGCCATGTGAGAGCATTTCGAGAGGTAGAGCGGACTCTCTCCACTCTCGGCCGTACCAGGGCATTTGGGGGCGTAGAACTTCGTACGTACATCAGTTCGGGTTGCCATACCACATTAGCAAATAGAGGCTGTCTTCGATTCAAATCCTGTAGTGGTAGAGGTGATAAGCAGAGGGAATTATCAAATACTATCTTTTCCAAGATTAAATTTCCATTTGAAAAGACATTTGTGACTTACCTGTCATAAACTCGCTTGCCTTAATCAGTTTAGATACATATATCAGGCGATTTCTGACGTAATTCATTTATTGTGTATACGTACTTGGATTTAAACCATACTTTAATTGAGAGATGGTGATACTACATGGCTTCCCGGGTTTAAGTCGAGCAATTCAATCAGAAAACCACCTTCAGCTTTCAAATGTCTTGTCTATAAGTGTCCCTATTTTCTTTAGATGTGTGGGTTAATCACTTGTCTCACAAAACCTGGACAGTTTTCCTTGATATATGTGCACACTTATCCACAATTACTAGTCTACAGTGTTTTCTGATTTTCCTACGACATTAAAATCAATAGAATCCCTTCTCAATTTGTTACTGTAATCGAAAATCTGTACAACTACTACGAGTTAGCACCATTTTTCGACTTCAAATGCTTCGAAAAAGCTACCCGTATCTTTTTAGCGAATCATCCAAATTAATTGATAAATTCATTCGTAGTAATATCCTGTTTTGTTTAGCCATCTTATTAGTATACTTTCATTATTTTAGGCAGCAGCAAGTCATTTGATGACATCTCAGTGTAGATAATTATATTGAATTTTGCTTTGGTTGTTAGAAGGGGCATTGACCTCGTGAAATCCTAAAATTTTCGGCTTTTATCATGACTCGGCAGTTCGTTCTGTTCTACTTTACGGCTGCGAAACATGGCCATTAAGAGTAAAAAATACTCGTAAATTATTAGTATTTGACCACAGATATATTGCTGGCGTCTGCTGGGATCACCGGGTAAGTAGTAGTGAGGTTAGACGCAGAGTATTAGGGAATGATAGTAAATCAGTTGATGAGGTTGTGAATCTTCATCGACTGAGATGGTTGGGCCACGTGTTGCGTATGCCTGAACACCGATTACCAAGACTCACAATGCTGACTAGTGTTGCGAATGGTTGGAATTAAGTTAGGGGCGGCCAAACCAAAACGTGGCATCAGTGCTTGAAGTCACTAACTCCGTTACGGAGTGGGTGTGGTTCATATGTGGTCCAGTTCACGAAGTCCTAGGTGACTACCTGGTTACAGTATTATTACTATTATTGCCTTTCTATACTTCCATATTATGCCTAGTAGAGATTTCTAATGATTCCGTTTTCTATCAGTTTACTATTGATAATAATATTTCCAGTGTTCGGATATTTCACCAGTCAACTATTATTTTACAGGAGCTACCACATGTTTCAGATCATCGCATATCATCTAATCATGTAACGTGGAGATCTGGATTGCCAATTAATCCTCCAATGGTTCACTCTATTGCTTGTTCAGTGTCCGGAGATTTTGTGGCTGCCGGACTTGAAAGTAGCACTATTGAATTATTCGCGGGTGACGGCAAGCGTTTGAACCATTTAGAGTCACTCTATGGTCACACACGTGGGGTATCGGCTCTTCATTTCATTGATGTAAGTTTGAATTTTCAGTGTTATTTATCTATTCAAGTCTTCATCGTAATTTAATGTTTAATTTCATAATAATATGGTGGTGGTATTGGCATACTTTTCATGACAAGCACAGCTTAAATTAATTACCGGTAGTACCACATTTTCGTTATCATTTTCGATCAACATAACCAGTTCCTCTATTTAGAGTGACTCAGCAGTAATCCTAAGTGTGTCATGTTCTTTATGGAAATTTTGATTGAACTGATTATATTTGTACCATATGTTTATTGCATTAAACTTATGTATGTTTAGGTGTTTTTGATCATAGAATTTGTGTTAATTCATAAAAGAATACTTTTGGAAACTAAATAGGTCTTAGTCACTTCACACTACTGATTTCTCCAATGTAAATGAGTGGTATATCTAAT